TTTTTTTTTCGGCCTGACGCCAAATGCAACAGAATTATCACTGCGAAGATGTTTCTATTTTAGATGCTCTACGTAGATGATAATGTTTATCCCATTCTCTCCCTCTCCTTAAGTTTAGTCCTGTGCACAATTTTATCTAATCTACTTCTACACATAAATGAATCTATTCATTCATCTGCCGTAAATGTCATGACAATTGTTCGTCGTGGAAACTGACCTAGAACTACACTTAATGATCTGAAATACGTCTCAATGTCTAAAGCTGAATTGTTACCTTCTTGTCTGCCTTGTTGACAACGGCATATTCACAATTTTCTAGTGGTGGATCAAGCCAAGTGTTACTCTCATCACAGGTACTGTTTGGTGACCCAAGAAGCTTTGCAACTTGGACTGGATTTACAGATTCATATTGACTTTCTCCAAATTGGTCTTCATCACTACTGTGTCAAAGGAAAAAAAACCTAGGTTAAAGCTAATATTTACTTCATTTTATGTTTTGCCCGGGGATAAAAAGAAGAAATAGGAAAGAAGGGAAGAGGGGTGGAGTAGTCTTGCTTATCAACAACGGTGATGGATGCTGTATTGCTATCATCCCAAAAAGTGTCTCCCATGGCAGGTCATGTTAAATGATGTTTCAAGTGCCCCTGAGCTGAGATCAATTTTTCTCGCGCTTCATTTTAATTAACAATTGGTTCATGCGTCAGCGTGCGTTCATCGAGAATTGAAGCAAGCGGGAAGCTTGGAGAGCGCGAAAGGTGCGTAAGAGTTGCTCGATGCGCAGCTTCTTGAGTACTCTCCAAACTTCTCAAGTGCTTCAATTCTCGATGAACGCACAGCTGACACATGAACCAATTGCTTTATAACATTTTCAACACTGTAATTTACGTATAAAGGGCAGAAATTCCCCCTCCTACGCTTTAATGCGTTTATTTTGTTTCGGAAAAGTATTTCGCTATGCTTCAATGATCTCTTCTCAGATTGGTCAAAAACTGACAGGTGAATTCATGCGTGGAAATGAACTTAGAGTTGCGAAACGAGATGAAACCGGCGTTGATTGTTTAGTTTTCCCTTTCTATGAGTTCTTTCTAGGAGTTAAAAGATTCCATTCCCAAAGAAAAAGTAGGCAGATCTTCATCGGCTTTTTCGCTTGTTGCCATATCTATTTTAACTTTTTTGCGGAGGTTTTTCCAGTTTTTTAATGAAAAATGCTGAAGTCACACGCGAGAAAAAAAATTTTTTTGGCGAGGTATTTGTTTGGTAACGTCACCAGCGTGCACAATGGGAAATTGAAGCACGCTCGCGCAATTGAATTTGATTGCACGACTTTACAAGCTATGTTATAAAAAGAAGTGGAGAAGTGCATGGGAGCTTGTGAGGTAGGTCCGATTTGTGCAGACCTATCACGTAAATTTCAACCCGAAAGACATTCTGTGATTTTTAACTCTTTTCTGATTTTTTTTTTTAAAATATTATGAGGTGGTTTTTGGCTTGTTATGAAAGAGTTGTGAAAATAGTATATGAAATTCAGAAAACATGCTCCACAGATTTTCCTCCTCCGCTTCTTCTCCAGCTCTGAATTGCCCTTCTTAATCGGTTGCCGCTTGCACAGTGTCGCGCGGAGAAAGTTCTTTTTTAGACGAAGCAAAACTATTCTCAGACACTAGATGCTACTTCGGCGGCTGTTCTTCCTCAGATGTGCTAAGAATTTCGTAAAAGACGGCGAGATAAAGCTCTAAAAGGCAATTTGAACAGTTTGATGCAGCGAACAGGGAGGGTTTTAGTGCAGTAGAGATGAAATGGAAGATTATGACGTCATGATTAAGTTCACTGTTTTGCGATTGCCGGCTCAACTGGAACATATTTCAGGAATGGCGGGCGAATTTTGGGCGACTTAGGAGCAGTATAAATTAGAGCTGTAGGGACTGAAGGTTTGTTCTTAGTTTTTATCGTAAAACTGTGTTCATACTGAACCTATTACTGCATTTGTAAGGGGCACTTTAAGCAACCAACAAGTAATAGTGCTCGTGCATGGGACGATGACTTATTTCATTCTCAAACAATCTCAACATTTGAGTCGTTGCCAGGGGTTTGAGACTCTTATCGCAGTGGACTTCTACATCCAGAAGTACTCATTGGTGCCGAAAAATCACGTTTAACAGGGATACCTGACGAAATGTTAGGGTGATCTAGAGGGGTAATCCATTTATGGACTGACGTTCTATCTAGGGGAAAAGAGAAGTAGTAATACCCGTAATTACTCCATGCGAAAGGAAAGAAGACTTCCAGCAATAGCTCGTATGATGAACTTAACATACCCTATATAAATTCAATGAACATTAGTCAGCTTTATCCTTTGGTAATGATGTGCTTGGTAATAATGATAAAAAACTCAAAATATTCCA